ACATATTTAAATGTTTCTATTTTGGATTTAATATTAAAATAAATATCTTGAATGTAACTCGACACCCTTGCCTCATTTAGTATGCGTGGTGCCATGAATATGCAAATGAGCCCCGCCTCCACTCACTCACTCAGCTCAGAGATCCACTGGTTGACGATCACACGTTGATCTGATTGGTTACAAGGTCGTTTGTGACGTCAGAAACACCAGCGATTTCAAACCGTGTTTTTGAGACTGTCTTTGGTTCACTGCAGTTTTAAGGAGAAAATACTCAGCAATGCTGTGGACTTATGAATTTACACATGGTTTGTCTTAAAGCATATTAAAAACACCACATAGACACATAAACAACATTAAAAGCTGGATTTTCACCACAGGGGGGCTTTAAGATTTTTCTTTTGTCCACTTCTGTCCTGATTTCTTCGAGGGGAGGGTCTATGAGCGGGTAAATGTACAGGTTTTTCAAATCATTCGATCTAATGGATAAAATAAGCTTGCACAATTTACAACACACGGAGAGCAGCAGCTTTAGTCTCTGCTCTGACAGCAGTGTGTGTTAGAAATCAGGAACGGTGAGAGAACATTGCTTGGATCTTCAGCAGACAAAGTTAAAACCCTGTCCGGCTAGAGCTCTTCCCATTATGTTCCCGCATTAGATCAGTAGGCGGAGAGAAGACGGTCTTTTGTGGCTGTTTGAACACATTCGACCACACGAGCGATCTAAAGCAATCCGGCCGAATGCGTTTTAGACTACCTCTGGAAGTGGTGAAAGTCGACGAGCTCAAAATGTTTTAGACCCCGATTACACCTCGTTTAGCGTCATCCACTTGTGATCAGATTGACAAAAACGCATGAATACCAGGTGTAAAATGTAAATAGCTTTTGTTGTCTGTCAGGCCCTGCACACGACTGGATGACATGTTGAACCGTCACTGTATTCATCCGTCCTGTGAGTCATCATGTTCACAAAGTCACACACTGAATACCTAATTGTGAATAGAAAAGCATTGTGTGAAAGCGGTTACAGCTGGCATGTCAGGAATGAAGCGTGACACACCTCAACACAGCAGCAATGAGGAGTCGAGAGACGAGACATCAGGAGCGGCAGTTTATTCGGTCTCCTTCAACGTTTAAAGTGCAGAGTCATGTTCACAGCTTCAGTAAAAACAGTACATTACAAGAAACCATAATCTGGACAAAGAAATCATGGAAAATATAAATATATCTGAAAAACAAAAGGAGACAGACGAGCGATGACATAAACTCATCCGGCAGTCGTTGGCAAGGCTAGCGTAAAACAAAGGCACAGCGATGTGGAGAGGTAAAGCATGGTCTCCGCAGCATCGGCTCACGTCCTGCCAGAAGCTGAAGTGCTGCTTAACTCCTGATGCCACGGCACATGCTGTACGTCACCTGAGCTGGACTTCTAGAAGCGTTACAAGCTGGACCGCATGGTGAAGTGCTCGTGTCCTGCTACAGGACTGCAGTCGGACACCTCGCAAACACCAAATCCAGCAGCCTCTGGTGCTTACAGAAGCAATGGACTCGTAATCTATTCAGTATAATGGCTTACAGAGCAATATGGCTTCTTACTAGTGGCAATACTGATAGTATTGATATCAGATCATCAGGGCTTTAAGTCAACATGAAATCTAAATCCTAATATAGCACGATATTTCAAACAACAGCGCTTGTCTTTGTCGTAATGTAGTAACTCGTTTTTTTCTATTTATTGGATTTACAGTACACGCTGCTTTTATGAGGAAATAGCTTATCATTTAATGAATCGACGGCCAATCTACAACATGTTTTCTTGTAAAGATTATTTTTGGATTGATCTATTTTCAGACTGATAGAATGCTGTTCTACGAGAGAATTCACGGTCAATTTTGCGACAGGTACGATTCAGATCACAGCACTTCTCTATTATTTCTATGGTATCCGCACTAGCCGCTTTTCCATTACCCTTCAAATTTCTCAAATTGAAATTGCGAATTGAAAATACGGCCAATGGAAACACGTCAATCCTGCAAAAATTCCCACATATCGCAAAAAAGTTTTTACACTCGCATGAGGTGTTTTTCAGGGAATTCGAAATAGGAATATTTCGCAAAACTGCAATGGAAACAGTTTTCTCATCTACAGGTCACCTGACGTACGCAACAGTCGATCATTCGTTAAAGAAGACGCGGTGTGTTTGGACAGAAGACGAGACAGAGTTCTTCATTAAACTCATAAAAGACTAAAGTATTACAGGAATACTGGACTGTAAACCACAAAGAAATGCCACAATTTATCAAGAGCTTGAAGCAGAAGGAGGGAGAAACTCCTCATATGTGCCGCTCTCAGTATAAGGGTCTTGCCATTAATGCTGGATAACACACACACACGTCTCCTTCATTAACAATAATGGCCAGTGCTGTGGCTGTGGTATACATAAACCTGCCAACATCCATTGCCATGATGTTTGGAATGAGGAAAAATGTTGTTTCAGTCGCATAACATCGGTTAATAGAAATGCCTTCATTTCACAATAGTTTTTTTATCGACATTTAGAAAATATCGCTAAAGTTTTGCGCAAATCAGTAATGGAAACGCGGCCACTGTCACACAACTGAAAGAAATTCACTGATGTCAAGGCTGTGATGTGATTGGTTATCAAGCTACACGTGAACCAAGGTGTCCGTTACGCTTTCTCTAATTGTACAGCCTAATATCTCCGATTAATAAGACCACGGCTGTGTCTGAAATCGCCTCCGGTACCCTTAAACACTGTTTGAGGGGACAGCCATTTGTAGTGGACGTTACCGAGTTCGAGATAAATCTTTTCATCACTACTGGAGCTGCTAGTTTGCACAGTTTCACATGATTATTAAACAGCACAAACTATGCAAAAGCGGCAGCCCTTCCCGAGTGTCCGAATTCACTCACTCGTTTTCATTCAGTCTTCACCTGGAGTGGAGTAATGCAGGGAACAGTGAATGAGGGTACAGGGGGCGATGCTCTGCTTCTGGTGATCCTGAAGACCATGATTAGCTGGCTCAGGAGTGTTTAGTTAGGGCCAGAGCTAGACTGTCGTACCGATCGTGAACGCAGTCACTTGATCCTGGTTTATGCCAGGTTTGACAGTACAGCAGATGCTGCTTCATGTTGACTCCAGCGGCGGCCTGTGATTGAAATACTCTGGATTAAGAAGGGTCACAGGTCACATGTTTTCTGAGTCTGTTACACACGTGCTGCTCAGGAGACGCGGCGGCATCAGGGGCTAAACGACACAAAGCCTCCGTCAGTGACGTGCATTCATACAATCACCAGCCAAACAACCCACAGAAACCAAAAGGCTCAAGCGGCAGACGCTGTCTTCCATAGTGCAAATGAAATCATTAAAACATTTTATAAAAGAGAAAATAGTGGTTTCAATTCAAAGAGAGAGAAGAAGAGGCTGTGTTTTTCTTTTTTTGTCTTTTTTTCAGTCTGTACACGTGCTTTCCTGGCGATCCTCCGTCGTGTTTTTGTATTGACATTTGTTCAGCGTGATGAGAATAGCTGGACTGGTGGTGGAGGACAGAGGAGGAGACATGGAGAGAAGCGCTTCTAGGAGATATTTACACCAGCAGTGTTGAAAACACAAAGACACTGGACCCCGAAACCCACCGTCCCGCGTGAGGGTCTAAGATCAGGCTCTGGGAATAAACTCAAGTAATAGTGACGAGGAAATCTGTCTACAGCATCTTTCACCCCAAAATCAAACGAAAGAGAGAAGGAAATCCATTTAGCAAAAGGTCCCTGTGAAGATTTTTCACATTTTATATTTAAATCCACGCAAATTACATTCATTTAATCCTGTACTAACATGATGTTCATTTACTTTACAATTGAACTCTTTCCCCTCCATTGGCAGAATTTTTCCGTGTTTTCACTGTTATACGGTAGGGGGCGCTATTACACATCTCCTGAAACAGCGCTGAATCTCCGGATCAAAACACAGGCGGGATGCAGGAACAAGCGATAGCAAATGTAAGCAGACGCATATGTAAATAACGCGATCATGAACATTAAACATCATATAAATCAAAACTGCGTAATGTTACAGAATGAAAAGTCCCAGGACGAGCTACAGGACTGAAGCTTTGAGGTGTTGATGGACTCGATTGACTCCATCTGTGTTTGATCATCGTCCCGAATCTGATCCCGGCGTAGTCTTTCACAAAAACGTGTTTTCCGCAGCTTTTTGCAAAAATGTTCTTACCCACATTCAAATGTTGATAAAAATGAATGCATGAAGCTAGATTAAAACGTGTTTTTGTTTTAAAGCCGAGGGTCTGTTCTTTCTTTTGATATACTGCATGTTCAGATATTCATACAACAAAATATTCTGGAGGCCATGAAAATTTGGAGAAAATGATAAAAAATGCTGGCGCTGGCTGGCGACTTTTTTCAAAAAAACGCTGACGGGGAAAGAGTTAAATAATAACTTCTTTTAGGGGGGGATTTTGGGGTAAAAGAGGACAGTAAATGAGTCGATCTGACCCATAGGGCTGAACTGGGACACTGAAGCATCATGTTTTTTACGTGTTCGTGACACGGACAGGAATCCACTCTGAACTTGATTATTTTCCTGGTGCTCAGGTGAAAAGTGCGCCAATGCGGAATAAGTATATAAAATAATGTCAAACAAAATTTACAATATGTACTATAACTGTATGTACACTGCGGGAAACATGAGGGATATTAGTGAAGCTTGAAGCCGGGGTCCGTTCAGGTCTCAGTACCAACACACCTGAAGAACAAAGACCTCGGGTACTGGCATCATCTGGACGAGGCGTGAACGCAGCATCAGAACCGTGTGGAGAACATCACAATAAGCCACAACAGACATGCATTATGACTGATGGAGCCGTGCTCGTGAGGTGACGTTTTCAAGCCGTCTGTCCAGACCGAAGCCTTTCAGTGGCGGGACGTTATGTTGCAGGTGTCATCTGAGGCCTTCAGCCCGCCGGCCACGAGCGAGGGAGCGTCCTCCGGCAGATCTGCTCAGCGTGAGGATCCGCGTCACTCGGGCTGCTCCGGGTGTGTGTGCAGCCCGTTCTTCCCGCTCGAGTGTTTCTGCCGGAAGTCTTGATGGATGAGCTCGAGCTCGGAGACCAGGTGCAGGCCCATCTCCAGATGCATCTTCAGGTTCTCCAGCCACGACTCCAGCTTCACAAACGCAGGCCTGCGGGACGAGCACAACCATTATAACTTCTAGTTCCAATAAACCATGAGTCATATCTATAATATCATTACAGTAATATTCAGGGTTTGAAACTATGACAATTTTGCTATAAAATTTTTAAGTTACTGGCCATTCAGAACTTCTACTTGCCAAAAAAATAATAATAAATAAATAAATAAACCAGATTAACTACAGTACATCACAGCTAGCTTGTATATATATATATTATACAATTTGGATTTCATACATTCATTTCTTATTCAAACTAAATCCTGTCATCCAGCCTCTCCTCCACTTCCTCTTTCATCCTCATCACCAGAATGTGTTTTAGGTGGACAGATCAATACAGCACAAAGAACATACAAAAAAAAAGTTTAAGATGTTGGACAATAATAATGTATTTTCTGTTCACCAAATGCTCTTTAATCTTCGCTATTGCTTCAATGCAAATGAACAAGCGCGCCGTTATTTGTTGCGCAGTGACGAGTGTGTTCAAGTTAGTCAGATATGAGCAGATTCTGTGCAATACACTGTATTTAATATATCATGATGACTCACGAGTCCGAGCAGATTTGGTTTACACGAACTTCCCCAGCAAAGTTAGTAAACATAATAAGTAACACGCCAAACTGGCTCGTGATTTGACAGTGTTACCCGTCACAGCTGATTTATACCCGCATTTGGCTGTTCATTTCAAACCCTGGTAATATTGCTCCCCTTTGCTTTCATTCATTTAGTATGTCATAGAATGCAGCTATCATGGATGTTACTGATATTTATGTTCTGTGCAAATGTGGCACGTATGATAAGCATGTCCCGTGTATTCTCTAACCGCTTCTCTGCGTCCAGATCGCAGCAGAGCACCGCCATGGGGAAGAAAGAGGCCGGACAGTCCGGCGGGCAGTACTCGTCCAAAAAGCCTTTGACGTTCAGCCCGAAATCCATGGCCCGGGGCAGGTAGTCGGGATCGGCGTTCACTCGCCCTATAATCTGGGGCAGAGCACAGAGTTTGATGTGAGACAGAGGAAGTGAGGTCAGTTTTCCCTAAACCCACACCACACACTGCTTCCTCTGGGTGTCCTTCACTAATGACGGGCGTCTGTCCTGTTTTAAACCGGTGCTGCTGTATGTGGTAGCAGTGTTCCCCATTAAAAGAGAAATCCCTGGAGTTCATGCGGAGGAAGCAGTTATTTTGGACTTTAACAGCCAGTGATTATTCCCTTAGATCAGTCCTGAAACACTCACCTCGCACAGCATGATGCCGAAGGAGAAGATGTCCACCTTCTCATCATAGCTCTTTCCTGAGAGACACAAACAGCAAAACATCACATAACACCCAGTGAAGAAACGACTTCCTCCTGTTAATCGCACTCTATTCTAACAATTCTAACATCGAATGAGTCTGCAAGTTGAGGTTATCAAATTATGTTTTTGTAGATATTTTCTACCTTGAAAATGTTTGACCACTATTTGAACATTCAAAATCCTTAAAGGAGTAGTTCACTTTAAAAAAAACTTTTGCTGATAATTTACTCACCCATCCCATGTCATCCAAGATGTCCATGTCTTTCTTTCTTCAGTCGAAAAGAAATTAATGTTTTTGATGAAAACATTCCAGGATTTTTCTCCATATAATGCACTGGGCATTACTGGGCACCAAACTGTCCAAGGTTCAACTGTCCAACTATCCTGTTCAAAGGGCTTTAAACAATTCCAGACGATGAATAAGGGTCTTATCAAGCGAAACGATCGCTCATTTAAAAAATAAATAACAAAGTTTAAGTTTTATAAGCTCAAATGCCCGCCTTGCTCTGTTCTGTGTGACTCTCCTGTTTGAACTCGTTCATCAAAATGAACGAATCTTTTTTTCGACTCATTTGATTCATTTAACGAACGAAATGGACAGGAGAGTCACACAGAACAGAGCAAGGCGGGCATTTGAGCTTATAAAACTTAAACTTTGTTATTTATTTTTTAAATGAGCGATCGTTTCGCTTGATAAGACCCTTATTCATCGTCTGGAATCGTTTAAAGCCCTTTGAACAGTTTGCAGTTTGCACTGAAACTGTCTTTTGGACCTTGAACCGTTTGGTGCCCAGTAAAGTGCATTATATGGAGAAAAATCCTGGAATGTTTTCATCAAAAACCTTAATTTCTTTTCGACTGAAGAAAGAAAGACATGGACATCTTGGACGACATGGGGGTGAGTAAATGATCAGCAAAAGTTTTTTTTAAAGTGAACTACTGCTTTAACAACGATTTGAATTACAAAATAATGTTATCTACTGACATGTACTACTTGTTCAAAAATGATTTATAAAATGATAAACCTAATATTCCAGTCTTCCAAACACGTTTAAGAAACTGAACGAGTCAAAATGATTGTTTTATCAGCTCAATGAATAACTCTAGATACCTTTTTATCCGAATTGTTAAAGTTTTTGGAGTGCACATTAGCTTATTTTCCATTAACTGGGTCAAATTTACAAGAGCGCATAAAAACCACAGACAGACTGAATGAAAATGTAAATCCACTCGCTTATGGAACGACAGAAATACAGCTTTGGATAGAAATAGTCGCTTTGGATAAAAGTGTCTGCTAAATGAATAAATGTAAATGTAAGCCGTTTCCGCGGTAACCTCTGTAAACACAGCAGGGCTGCGCCTATAAACACTACACGTTACACAGAGCAAAGACAGTCAGTTCCCTTCAGAGCAACATTCATAGCGTTCATTCAGACTTTAATTCATAAAGTTGTTTAATTCCCTCAGTTGTTCCGCCATTTTTCCAAACAAAAAGGAAACCAACGTTTCATGTCGTGTCTGCGTGAGACTGTTGCTTACATTGCTTAATACTGGACGGTATTTACTGTGAGTTTTTCAAACCCTGGCAATCAAATAGGGTGTTAATGATGATTGAAATATTCAACTGTAATACAAATCGCTGAAAGTTGCATCGTGGTTTATCGTCAAACTGGTAAGGTAACCGTTTCATCCCTAACCCTCAAACAAGAGCGAGCTTGTCCTCCAAGACCAAATACATGAACATGCTAAAACCATTCAGAGTTATCATGATTTAAGTCTTCTTTTCTCTGAAACATGATTCCTCCTAAATACCACACCACATTTTTGTAAGATCATCATGATTTACACAGAATAATACATTATTAATGAAGAAAAGCGTCGGGTGATGAAAGGAGAGCCCTCTCACCGTGGATCATCTCCGGGGCCATCCAGTACGGGTTTCCCACCACAGTGTATCTCTTTCTCCTGTCGGCCTTCTTGACGCCCGGGAGCTGTCCGGACACCAGTTTGTCCTGGATCTTGTCCTCCACCATGAGCCGGGACAGGCCGAAGTCCGCCACAACAACACTGTTATTCTGTCAGAGCGAGAACTACTTACAGATCTGCCATTGCACATCTTCAACGGTCTTCAGTTCTTCAGCTACATTTGTATTATCAAACAGTCATGCTTTATTTGCTCTGAGAGAAGCTGTAGTGACTGTGTTTCGCCTTTGCACAGTAGTATGACACATTGACAGCACCAAATTCTAATGTTATAACCACTGCCGTCACTCTTTAAATGGGCATTTTCTTAAAGACCTGGAGTGATCTATGTCCTGGCAGACGCTCTGTAGGGCTTTGCTTCTGAACACTTAAAGTCCCCCTGTGGTGAAAATCCAGCTTTTAATGTTGTTTATGTGTCTATGTGGTGTTTTTAATACGCTTTAAGACAAACCATGTGTAAATTCATAAGTCGACAGCATTGCTGAGTATTTTCTGCTTAAAACTGCAGTGAACCAAAGACAGTCTCAAAAACACGGGTTGAAATCGCTGGTGTTTCTGACGTCACAAACGACCTTGTAACCAATCAGATCAACGTGTGACCGTCAACCAGTGGATCTCTGAGCTGAGTGAGTGAGTGGAGGCGGGGCTCATTTGCATATTCACAGAACCGCGCATAATAAATGAGGCAAGGGTGTCGAGTTACATTCAAGATATTTTAAGACATGAAGAATGTTTTTCAAGGAAAAAAAAAACGCTTAAATATGTCATTTTGGTGATCAGAGATGAGTTTTAAGGGATAAAATGATTGACCACAGGGGGACTTTAAAGCTCTGAATGTGATCCCGCATTATACACCTCAAAAGCAATCGAAATCAATGCAATCTAGAAAGCTTATTCTCTTCATTCTCAACATGCAAACAAACACTGGAGCTGTGATGCCACTCACCTCTCGGACCAGACAGTTGTGTGAGTTGAGATCTCGGTGGATGATGTTCATGGAGTGCAGGTAAGCCTGGGTCAAAGGAGCACATGTTAAACGGCTGCCCGCTGCACTCATTCACAGGACTGAACGCACTGGTCACCCTATGGCTGACTGCTAGATTAAAACTGGGCATCACACACTGGAAGACTTTCACAACAAACTCACGCAGAAACATGAGGCTTGTTTCTCTGAGACGCACGACACCTGAAAACAATACAGTGTGTGTTCTGGCATCGGTTCAACATATCAAAACATCTGACTGGATCAAAGTCTGAGGTCTGTGTCGGTCATACACTGGGACTTTCTGCAGACAGCAAATCGAGGCAAAAACTATATTTTTAAAAGTTATACTTCAGGTTCTGTGACTATTCACCAAAACATTTATATTATTATCTTTATTGTCAGGTTTTCTGGATTTTTTTTTGTAGTTATTATAATAATATACTGTGTGCATTATAAACTAAAACATGAATATGTGATAATTTATAGTTTATTTCCGTTTTGGAGTCGAACAATATTACTTTAGTTTGTTTTCCTAAACAGGCTTATGTTTAATGTACATTTCTTTAACAAAAATATCAGTTTCACCACTCCTTTAGCTTTTTCACATTTCAAGCTCTTAAAATATAATGAATATATGTGGCACTGGCGCCTCACTCACCATCCCAGAGGCGATGTCCTTGGCGAAACTCACTCTCTGATTCCATGGATAGCTACTGTCCTGCACACAGAAGACACACTCTCTGATACTCATGCAGTTTCCCTCTCTGACAGCAGGCGGCGCTCATGGAGCAGCAGAAACACAGCGCTTACCCTGGGGCCGGCTTCACACAGCTAGTTTAGACCGCTCTATAGTGTTAGACAAGTCTAAAATGTGCCCATAGACTAGTCTAATGCAAGTTAGACTGTTTCACAAAAATAAAGACTGACTTAATTTAGACCAAAAACATCTAAGACTCGTCTAAGACTCTGTTACCTTGGCAACCAGCAGTAACAATCAGTTACATTACAAACAGCCGAAAGAAAAGGGAAAATATTCATCTCCATTTCAGTGTCTTTAAGTTTCTCTTGGGTTCCTCCTCCCGTTTTTGGATATTTCCTCTTAAATATTTCTTTTTTGGCATCTTGTAATATGTTTTTGTATCTTTTCTGTACGTCAAATTAAACTTTTCGTCTTGTTACTCCATTCTCCGCTAAATTTCCCCAGTAAAATGTCCTTGTAACTGTTATACTCCTCCAACAAACACATATTTTCCGCTGGGGTAAACTGCACTGGGGTGCGTTTCCCAAAGCCAACTATGGTCGCAAGTTCCGTCGTTGGAAATTTCGATCATAGTTGGCCAACGATGCTTTTGGGAAACGCACCCCAGAGCGGTTGAATGCGCTTACTCGATCCGCCATGTTTTTTGTTTTGAAAAGTGTCTTATTTTACCCAGAATGCATTGCAGTGTAGTCCTACTTAAGATAGTCAGAGTCTTAAGTGCTTTGTGCAACGGTCTGATTTAGATGTCTATCTGAAGTCTATCTACTATATCTAAGCCATAGTCAAAGTCTATCTGTGTGAAACCGGCCCCAGTCTATACAACACAGCTGCGCTTTCTAGAACGGCCACTGTAAGGCAAACACTGTCATAATGCATCAACAGTAGATCAGAAGCGATCGCTTGGCATTAATGTGCAGTGCTAGTGACTGAAACACACACACACACACACACACACTCATCAACAGTAGATCAGAAGCGATCGCTTGGCATTAATGTGCAGTGCTAGTGACTGAAACACACACACACACACACACACACTCATCAACAGTAGATCAGAAGCGATCGCTTGGCATTAATGTGCAGTGCTAGTGACTGAAACACACACACACACACACACACACTCATCAACAGTAGATCAGAAGCGATCGCTTGGCATTAATGTGCAGTACTAGTGACTGACACACACACACACACGCACACACACACACTCATCAACAGTAGATCAGAAGCGATCGCTTGGCATTAATGTGCAGTACTAGTGACTGACACACTGACACACACACACACACACACACACACACACACACACACACACACACACACACAGTAGATCAGAAGCAATCGCTTGGCATTAATGTGCAGTACTAGTGACTGACACACACACACACACACACACACACCATGTTCTTGATGATGTCTCTCAGTGTTCCTCCTTTGATGTACTCCGCGATGAAGTTGAGCCGTTTGTCTTTATAAAGGACGCCGATGAACTTCAGCACGTTGGGATGGTCCAAACACCTCATCACCTTCACCTGAACACACACACACCGTCACAGAACACGTCAGCAATGTTCACAAACATGTTTACAATCAATAAGAGGATACAATAAACTCATTCAAATCACACACAGGTGACGTAACGGATGTTTCCTGCCTCAGGCTGAGCGTCCTCACATGTGCAATGGCGCAATCCCTCATGTTCATGAAGACTGTTCTTATTCCGGTTTTTATGGCGTTAGATTTGATTGAACTGAACCGAGGAGTGTGTAAGGGCCGGCGATGGCTGTGTGTGTGCTGTTTTTCTCCTCAGATGAACTGAGACCACGAGCGTTTCCTTCGTTTTAAGCACAAGTGTACAGCAAAGTCATTAAAACAGAGAATTATGGGAGCTAATCATAAACGAATCTCAGACAAACGAGTGCTAGATGACGTTTCAGCCGGGCAAGCTGCAGTGTTACGAGACTCGTTCTCCTCGTTTAACCCCGGAGCCTGCTGGGTAAATGATGAGCTGAGACACACACACACACACTCCATCTGTCCTGTAAGTGAGGAGGCTCACCTCTTTGAGGAAGGTCATCTGTGTCTCCTCATCGAAGCGGATGAGTTCCTTCATCACCATCACCTCGCCCGTCTCTCTGTGAGTCACCTGACAGGGGTGAGAACACACACGGAGTGATCACACTCACCCAAGCAGCAGCTGCTTACTCATAAACTCAGTGTTTTATTGCTCTAACTGGAGCATGACATCAGACTCAACAGGCGGATCTGGAAAACCCTACGCTATGGGGAAAACATGTCCCCACAATAGCCAAAATCCTTGTCGGGAGATGTTTTGGTCCCCATGAGGAAAACAGCTCATAAATCATATCAAGTGATGCTTTTTTTATGTAAAAACACAGAAAGTTGTGTGTGATGGGCAGGGTTAGTGTAAGGGGAGAGAATATACAGTTTGTACAGTATAAAACCATTACATCGATGAAAAGTCCCCATAAAACATGAAAACACCACATGTGTGTGTGACACCACATGTGTGTGTGACATGTGTGTGTGTGTGTGTGTGTGTGTGTGAGTGAGTGAGTGAGTGAGTGTGTGTTCTGACCTTGATGGCCTGCCCGAAGCAGCCCTTGCCCAGGACCTTTCCGTGGATGAGATCGGAGGCTCTGAATATGCGGTGTGTGCATGTGTGTGTGTGTGTGTGTGTGTGTGTGTGTGTGTGTGTGTGAGTGTGTGTGTGTGTTCTGACCTTGATGGCCTGCCCGAAGCAGCCCTTGCCCAGGACCTCTCCGTGGATGAGATCGGAGGCTCTGAATATGCGGTGTGTGCGGGAGTGTGTGTGTGTGTGTGCGTGAGTGTGTGTGTGTTCTGACCTTGATGGCCTGCCCGAAGCAGCCCTTGCCCAGGACCTCTCCGTGGATGAGATCGGAGGCTCTGAATATGCGGTGTGTGCGGGAGTGTGTGTGTGTGTGTGCGTGAGTGTGTGTGTGTTCTGACCTTGATGGCCTGCCCGAAGCAGCCCTTGCCCAGGACCTCTCCGTGGATGAGATCGGAGGCTCTGAATATGCGGTGTGTGCGGGAGTGTGTGTGTGTGTGAGAGAGTGTGTGAGTGTGTGTGTGTGAGTGTGTGTTCTGACCTTGATGGCCTGCCCGAAGCAGCCCTTGCCCAGGACCTCTCCGTGGATGAGATCGGAGGCTCTGAATATGCGGTGTGTGCATGTGTGTGTGTGTGTGTGTGTGTGTGTTCTGACCTTGATGGCCTGCCCGAAGCAGCCCTTGCCCAGGACCTCTCCGTGGATGAGATCGGAGGCTCTGAATATGCGGTGTGTGCGGTTGGTGACGACGCGCAGCGACTCGGAGCGGCCGATGTCCTTCCGCAGAGACAGAGGAGACGGTGAGCTACTGGAGCTCGGGGATTTATCAATACTGCAGCTGCGCCTGCACAGAACACACACCAGCCACGGTCAATCAGGTGATCATGCATCACACACAGAGCCTCGGCCGTTACTATAGAGACAGAGCGCATGTAGGCCACGCCCACACCGGGGGAACAATCCAGCCGGCCCCATCGCCTGCGCATTGTGTGAAGCTGCTATAACAAAAAGCAGAACAATGTCGAAAAGCTGCTATGTGACAAGGTGTACAGCAAACAAGCTAAACACAACCAGAAATACGTTTTTATAAGCTCTCGACCCTAAAATACGAGCGTTTAAGGAGACACAAGTGGACAGAGCAGCGTGATACATTACTCTGAGAACTACCCCACTGGAGGAGGCGTAACCGGCGACAGGATAGCTTCGTGTACAGAAATATAATATAGAAAACTGACATTTGGATATTTGACTTACCAGTGATCAAATGTTTACTGCACACGTAGTGTATTTCTACTGCAGGATCCGTTTACCCATTCAGTCAAGCCAGTGTCCACTATTGTCTCCTTAAACGCTCGTATTTCTACAGCTTATAAAAACATATTTCTGTTGTGTTTAGCTTGTGTGCTGTACACCTTGTCACATAGCAGCTTTTCGACATTGTTTTTTGTTGTTGTTATGAGTCATAAATGACAAGGAGGCAGCTTTTGGTAACTCTTTATTGTGATGGTCCCTTTAACACATTCTGTAGACTAGAAGTAACTCTGCACCTTCATGTCTACTAACTCTCAGTAGAGTATTAGTATTCTTTCTGCTTAATATCTGCTAACACTTTACATGTACATGTACAACTACATTAGTCAACTTATTCTAAACATAACCCTACCAGTCTAATGAGAGTTAGTGCACATGTAGGTGCAGCGTTACTTATAGTCAACAGAGTGTGTTAAAGGGACCATCAAGATAAAGTGAAACCCAGCTTTTTGTAATGCAAAGTCAATGGAGACGGTTGGATTGTTGTGTGTGTGTGTGTGTACTGACGTGATGATGCGCGAGCGCAGGTTGTTGATGTCCTGGCTGGGCGGGCGTGTGATGGGCATGATGGGACTGGGGCCCTCAGACAGGGGTGTGGGGCCGTCCACCCGGTCCTCTGAGGAGCCGTGATCATGAGGGTCGTGCTCAATGGTCAACTGCAGCAGACGACTGGTCTCCTGGATCAGCAGATCAATCTGACACACACACACACACACACACACACACAATACAGTCAAGTAAGGACTTTCAAATCATTTATGGATCATATATTGTAGTCTGTACATTGGTAATGTAATAATAGACTGTATACAAATAGTGAGTTCTTCATTCATTGTCACAGTAATGAACACGATTATTATGGTTTGATTAGCTAATAGTAAAGGAATTGTTCATTGGTTATTAGAAGTAAATAGTTCTCACTTTAGATTAGGTCATGGAAAACGGGAACATTTCATCATTAATTTCTTTAAACCAACCGTTACTAGACATCCATAGCATTGATGTATTCAGAGTTTCTTACAATGTTTACTAACACATTAAGCACTTACACACACGTTGTTTACAGGGACTCTCCATAGGCGTAATGGTTTTTATACTGTACAAACTGTTAGTTTTCTGTATTAAGAAACACTTAATACTAATGCAATCAATGTCTAATAAAGGTTGATTCTTTTGTTTTTCGTGACCGATCAAAAGTGAGAATATTTACAGTTAAGAACATGATCTAACTCTTACATATGAGCTAATTAAACAACAATAATAGTGTTATAAAGCTGTCTGGTGTTCAGCAGACATCAAAAGCTCAGTGTGTGTGTGTATGTGTGTGTGTGGGGGTTTTATTCACCTCGTCCAGAGGAACGTTCTGAATCGGCGTCCCGTTGATCTCCAGGATCCGATCGCCGACATGAATGGAGTTCTTTACATCTGGACTGATGCACTCTGGGTCCACCCTGAACACACACACACACACACACGAAACCATGACACGAGTCACATGACCAGGACAGAGGCGTTTGAAGATTTCAGTCAGGACAGCAGATCAGCGCAGTGTTCATGGATACCCATGCAAGAGGGGACAGGCAAAGATTCGAGAGCTATAGAAGGAACCCATTATATATTTGGAAGAACTTTACTTTTCCTTTTTCAATCATTCATGCATTTGCATTTTAATTCCAAATTCTAAATCAAAGTATTAAACGGATAATAATTCTCATTCAGAAAAATGCCGAGCAGTTTGAGAGTCTGTGTCCTGCAGTGACACACACTCACTGCGAGACTCTGATGGTGGGCTTGAGTTCGGGGCTGTATCCGTTGGGACTGGGGCCCTGATCGATGGACACGGAGAGCCCGCGCTTCCCATCGGTGGAGGCGGGAATAGACACGAGCGTGACCGTGTGGGGAATCCTGGAGCAGGGCGAGTCGGGCAGGGTGACCGGAGTCACGACGGTGCGGTAATAACACTGTCCACTAGAGGGAGACACAGCAGAAGAAGAGTTCAGTTCACAGACAGGAGTCAGCCGAGGACGGGGCCCGTCCCACAACAGGACATGCTTTCAGAAGTTTAGCTGCAGTTTAAAGGACTGAAACACTCATGAATTTCACATTATTTGGTGACATTTTACTTCTGTTAATAACGTTAGAAACATCTTCATGTATTGCTTAAGAACTAGTTAAATCGTTCAAACATCCAGGCTGTCATGACACGGTGTTTCACACTGTAGATTTTTTCTTATATACTTTTATGAATGCACATGAAACACTTTAATCATTATAAATTAGTGGTGATTATGAAGAGAAAGGACACAAACACTGCAGGTTATACACGTTTTGGAGAGTAGAGGTGAAATAAAAGCAGCAATTCCCCATATGGCAAGGCAAGGCAAGGCAAGGCAAGTTTATTTATATAGCACATTTCATACACAATGGCAATTCAAAGTGCTTTACATAAAAAAAAAATCAAAAGAAATAGGAATAATTAAAACAGTTAAGAATAAAGAGATTAAAATAATCAAAAGAAATAAGAATAATTAAAGCAGTTTAGAATAAAAATTAAATAAAATACAGTACAAACAGTCGGACACAGTGGCACAGTGCTCATTCAGTAAATGCATAGCTAAACAGAAGTGTCTTGAGTCTGGATTTGAATGTGACTACTGTAGGAGCACATCTGATCTCCTCTGGAAGCTGGTTCCAGCTGCGGCTGGCATAGTAGCTAAAAGCAGACTCACCATGCTTAGAGTGAACCCTTGGTATTTCTAGCTGATGTGATCCTAATGATCTGAGTGATCTGTTGGGTTTATATTCAGTGAGCATATCTGCAATGTATTTAGGTCCTAGGCCATTAAATGATTTATATACCAGTAATAATACTTTAAAATCAATCCTAAATGTAACTGGGAGCCAGTGTAGAGACCTGAGGACTGGTGTGATGTGTTCATATTTTCTGGTCCTGCTCAGAATCCTGGCAGCAGCGTTCTGTATGAGCTGCAACTGTCTTATGGTCTTTTTAGGAAGGCCAGTGAGGAGTCCATTACAATAATCCACCCTGCTAGTGATGAAAGCATGCACAAGTTTCTCTAAGTCTTGACTGGAAACAAAGCATCTAATTCTTGCAATATTTTTCAGATGATAGTATGCTGATTTAGTTATTGATTTGATATGACTACTGAAACTAAGGTCTGACTCTAGAGACACACCCAGATTCCTCACTTGATTTTTAGTTGTTAGACCCCTAGCGTCAAGGTATGCATTCACCTTGAGAACTTCATCTTTGTTGCCAAACGCAATGACTTCAGTTTTGTCTTTGTTTAACTGAAGAAAGTTTTGGCACATCCAATTGTTTACTTCCTCAATGCATTGGCACAGGGAGTCAATGGGGCTGTAGTCGTTAGGCGATAGGGCTAAGTAGAGCTGTGTGTCGTCTGCATAGCTGTGGTAAGAGATTCGGTTCTTTCTCATTATTTGGCTCATTGGGAGCATGTACAGGTTGAATAGGAGTGGCGCAAGAATTGAGCCTTGAGGGACTCCGCATGTCATGGACGTCCACTCAGACTTATGGTCTCCTATACTCACATAATAACCTCTCCCTTCTAAGTATGACCTGAACCATTTTAGGACTATCCCAGAAAGCCCCACCCAGTTTTCCAGCCTGTCAAGAAGTATGTCGTGATCGACAGTGTCAAATGCAGCACTGAGGTCGAGTAGTACCAGCACTGATAATTTGCCGTTATCAGTGTTTAAGCGAATATCATTTATTATCTTTATGAGCGCTGTCTCTGTGCTGTGATGCGATCTGAAACCAGATTGAAAATTGTCAAAGTATCCATTCGAGATTAAGAATTTGTTTAGCTGATTGAAGACAACTTTTTCAATGATCTTGCCTATGAAAGGAAGATTTGAGATCGGTCTATAGTTGCTTAATATGGTCTTATCCAGATTGCTCTTTTTCAGGAGGGGCTTGACAACTGCAGTTTTCAGGGAGTTTGGAAAATTCCCAGAGATAAGTGAGGCATTAACCACTTCTAGGAGATCAGCTTCTAAACAGTTTAACACACTTTTGAAGAAAGATGTGTACATGTCTACTAACTCTCAGGAGAGTATATGATATGTTAAATCACACAATAACATTTACAGGGTCTATTATAGATTTATTGATATGTTGTTCTGGCTCATACAAACATGCGATCGGTGAGCACGGGTTACTGGTTGATTCAAATCATCAAACTGTAGATTTCTAAATATTGTTACAGTAACTGAAATGAAGTTAATTTTTACTCAGAGTTCCTGGCTTTGCCTGTTAGTAAACCATAAATAAATAAATAACTGTAACGTGTTTTACTGGCCAAGTGAGCCTTTTTTTTTTTTTTGTCGTTTCACAGTGTTTTCCACATGAATAAAGCACATACTTTCACAGCTCATGGGATGCAGTTACAATATGAAGATGAAACACATCTTCTGCACGGCTACATCACACCCACACAACAGGACATATTAATAACCCATAACAACAGCTCATGCTAATGTCCTGCTTTAGAAATAAAGAGCAATATCTGGTCTCGCTTTATTTTGATGGTCCCTTTAACACATTCTGTTGACTGTAAGTAACGTTGCACCTACATGTCTACTAACTCTCAGGAGAGTATTAGTAGAGTATTAGTAGACTGGTAGGGTTAGAAGAAGTTGCTTATAGCCAGTAGATTGTCTGCTAGGGGATTATCAAAATAAAGAGTTACCCACTATCTTCCAGCGGTCAGCAGAATGTCACATGACTGGCATGTCCGTGGGCTTTTTTGGTTTTGGTTTGTAGGTGTCACCGGGGCTTGACATTAACACCCTTCAGCCCACCAAATGTGTGTGTATTTCAGCAGTGGTGTGTGACGCAGTCACTCCTACTAGACACTTCAGCAGGTTGAATTTGATATATAATATAAACAGTTTTCAAATGTAGTCTTTTAAAAAGGCATCTGAAATAATAAACTGAGCCCAATGTAGTGTTGTCCAAAAATATCTATTTTTTTTGCAACATATTGATCCTGAAATGTCTGAAACTGATCTCCTCACTCACTCTTTTAATTTACTCCGGATGAAAAATGTTGCTGTTACAGGACTTGAATTTCGGCGTAGGATTGCGCATAATTTACATGATTACAATAATGTCAAAATGCCAGTCTAGGTGAGTATTCACGTAAACAGTTATGTCTTAAGTGAACGTAAACAATTGAGAGAAATCGCATGTGTAACAATAGGATCTGTGCGTCAGGCCTTAAAGTGACAGCAGCCTAATAATCCGGCTGCCAAATTATGAGATAATATTACAAATATTTTATATCTTTTTTTCCATATGGCATCGATGTCAAAATTGTGGCCAGTGAAAATGCTGAGTGGCTAGTAACTTTGGAAAGCCACTAGGGGTGTCACAATATATCGCAATACAAAACTGCAACAATATGTATCGTGGATAGTGACAATATGTATTGTGTGTAATTCACCCAAAATAAAAATGATTGTGTAAGAAACAATTTAAGAGTTTTAGAGTTGATAGTGATAATGTCAATGTCAATTAGTAAAACGTATGGAAGCATATGGGTAGCAATATTCAATTTGAAATGTAATATGCAAATTGACAATGCAATATGTAAAATGGCAATGCATTTCTGTATTTAAATTTACATTTGACATTTTCTTACCAGTTGCCGAGCCCCAACTTCACGCAGTGATTGATCGGCTTGGAATGCATTTTAATTTGCACATTGAATTTTGCTACATTCATTGGGGGACATTTAATGAAAATGCAATCACAAGTGTCTTAACTTTGAGTGTAAATGCAATTAAGAAAAATCACATTTAAAGCTCCAGTCCGTAACTTTTTTAAGTTAAAAATAATCCAAAATAATTATATTAAAAAAAACTTATTCTGCCAGTGGTCAAAACTATCTGCTTGCCATAGCTAGATTCAAAACGGTTAGCTTGTAATAATGATTTTAATTCCAGTGGTACTGGTGGGTTTCCGCGGGAAATTCAAGCATGTCTTTGCGTCATGACGTCACACCCGTACACATAAAGAAGGAGTTTCGGCTAGCCGGCTATACTGCGCGTGACGAGATGTTTAGATGTATAGGCTTTTCTCGCAGCACTTTACATGATTAAACTTATGGCGGATCCAGAAAGATCCAAACAACAATCATCAGTGTCAACTGGAGATTCAGCAGTTATAAAACCCAAAAGACTTCGTACTTCGGATTTAAGGTGGCTAGAGAAAGAGAAAGAAACCGTCTCATGCGAACACAAGGATTTAAACATCGGCGGGGCTTTTGAAAAGTGCGTGAACTCCGTGTTTTGAAGGGGTTCAAAACGGAAGAAGAGACGGCTTTTTTTCTGCTGAACAAGTAAGACATTTCAATAGTTCAATCGTGTAACAGTACGTTTTCTTAATTAACACAGTTATGGAGTTTCCTTTGTTGTGCCTTTCTCGTTTTGCTATTATGGAGAATATGAATTCTGAACTACACAGGTAACCATAAAACACATTAAATTTAACATTAGTCACGCAATGCTGATGTTGTTAACATGAATTTGAGAACAAAGTAGGCTATAATTTGCACGGTTGCTGTAAATCGCGTTGATTAAATCTAACGAAGCTTATCATGTCGAATGCTTTTTCCCCCTTAGTTGGTCAGAACAAAAATGGATGTTACTTACTTGTTCAGAAGACATTTTCTTATGAAAATTCTTATGTTGGTCAAACTTTCAAAAAGTGAATCTGTGATTCTGTATGACAGTATCCACACAGCGCGGTGACTGACAGCAGCACTCGCCTCAAAGCACTGTGTTCATCCGCGCTGTTTCATGTCGATTTACAACCCACGTAAAGATGATAATTCCGCGAATCACTGCAGTTACAGATTTCGAACAGACAGATGGCGACAAAGAGGAAAAGCTACGGACTGCAGCTTTAAATAATCATTTTGCTACAGTTTTTGCTTGAACATGTTCAACATATCTAAGAATTTCTGTAATACATTTTAATTTTAATTTAGCAACTTATAAAGCGTTAAAATGTGTATTCAATTTACATATTAAACCTAGTGTATGAAATGGCAAATGTAAATTGAATACTGCTACCCATAGGCTTCCATAAAAAAGTGACATACTTTATTTAAAATATATCTAGTAAGTGAAAGAGTGCAAGCATATTAATCTAAAATAATTCTGAATTTTCAGCTTCAGCTTCAGAATCATTAATATTGTTATTCTGGTGTCTCTATTGTCCTGTGCATTGGGTTTCCAGCACCAAGTCTAAGCCTATTCATTTACACACACAATGTTATATAAAATTTAGCATTTCAATCAAAAGTAAATTTTTTTGTTAAACTTTTATCATATGTCTTGGAGTATCGCAATAATATTGTATCGTGAGTTCAGTATTGTGATATTTATAAAATCGTGACATGAGGGTATCGTTACACCCCTACTAGCCACAGTGTCTCGTGAGAAAGAAAGTTTAAGTCGAGCCCTGGGTGTCACTCACCAGTAAAGTTTGGAGCGCTCCACCAGCGCATACGTGTCTCCATCACCGATGAACGCTCGGCAGTTTAGACAGGTGAAGCATTCTGGGTGATACTTCTGCTCTCCGGCCACCTGGAACACAGAAACACTGAGATCAGACACGCTTTACGCTCTCCAGATGTTCAACACAGAAACACTGAGATCAGACACGCTTTACGCTCTCTCCAGATGTTCAACACAGAAACACTGTGATCAGACACGCTTTATACGCTCTCCAGATGTTCAACACAGAAACACTGAGATCAGACACACTTTACACACTCTCCAGATGTTCAACACAGAAACACTGAGATCAGACATGCTTTACGCTCTCCAGATGTTCAACACAGAAACACTGAGATCAGACACGCTTTACGCTCTCTCCAGATGTTCAACACAGAAACACTGAGATCAGACACGCTTTATACGCTCTCCAGATGTTCAACACAGAAACACTGAGATCAGACACGCTTTATACGCTCTCCAGATGTTCAACACAGAAACACTGAGATCAGACATGCTTTATACGCTCTCCAGATGTTCAACACAGAAACACTGAGATCAGACACGCTTTACACGCTCTCCAGATGTTCAACACAGAAACACTGAGATCAGACACGCTTTATACGCTCTCCAAATGTTCAACACAGAAACACTGAGATCAGACACGCTTTATACGCTCTCCAGATGTTCAACACAGAAACACTGAGATCAGACACGCTTTACACGCTCTCCAGATGTTCAACACAGAAACACTGAGATCAGACACACTTTACACACTCTCCAGATGTTCAACACAGAAACACTGAGATCAGACACGCTTTATACGCTCTCCAAATGTTCAACACAGAAACACTGAGATCAGACACGCTTTACACGCTCTCCAGATGTTCAACACAGAAACACTGAGATCAGACACGCTTTATACGCTCTCCAGATGTTCAACACAGAAACACTGAGATCAGACACGCTTTACACACTCTCCAGATGTTCAACACAGAAACACTGAGATCAGACACGCTTTATACGCTCTCCAAATGTTCAACACAGAAACACTGAGATCAGACACGCTTTACACACTCTCCAGATGTTCAACACAGAAACACTGAGATCAGACACGCTTTATACGCTCTCCAGATGTTCAACACAGACACACTGAGATCAGACACGCTTTACACACTCTCCAGATGTTCAACACAGAAACACTGAGATCAGACACGCTTTACACGCTCTCCAGATGTTCAACACAGAAACACTGAGATCAGACACGCTTTACACGCTCTCCAGATGTTCAACACAGAAACACTGAGATCAGACACGCTTTATACGCCCTCCAAATGTTCAACACAGAAACACTGAGATCAGACACGCTTTATACGCTCTCCAGATGTTCAACACAGAAACACTGAGATCAGACACGCTTTATACGCTCTCCAGATGTTCAACACAGAAACACTGAGATCAGACCCGCTTTATACACTCTCCAGATGTTCAACACAGAAACACTGAGATCAGACACACTTTACACACTCTCCAGATGTTCAACACAGAAACACTGAGATCAGACACGCTTTACACGTTCTCCAGATGTTCAACACAGAAACACTGAGATCAGACACGCATTATATGCTCTCCAGATGTTCAACACAGAAACACTGAGATCAGACACGCTTTACACGCTCTCCAGATGTTCAACACAGAAACACTGAGATCAGACACGCTTTATACGCTCTCCAGATGTTCAACACAGAAACACTGAGATCAGACACGCTTTACACGCTCTCCAGATGTTCAACACAGAAACACTGAGATCAGACACGCTTTACACGCTCTCCAGATGTTCAACACAGAAACACTGAGATCAGACACGCTTTATACGCTCTCCAGATGTTCAACACAAAAACACTGAGATCAGACCCGCTTTATACACTCTCCAGATGTTCAACACAGAAACACTGAGATCAGACACGCTTTACACGCTCTCCAGATGTTCAACACAGAAACACTGAGATCAGACACGCTTTATACGCTCTCCAGATGTTCAACACAAAAACACTGAGATCAGACCCGCTTTATACACTCTCCAGATGTTCAACACAAAAACACTGAGATCAGACACGCTTTATACGCTCTCCAGATGTTCAACACAAAAACACTGAGATCAGACACGCTTTACACGCTCTCCAGATGTTCAACACAGAAACACTGTGATCAGACACGCTTTACACGCTCTCCAGATGTTCAACACAGAAACACTGAGATCAGACACGCTTTACACGCTCTCCAGATGTTCCACACAGAAACACTGAGATCAGACACGCTTTACACGCTCTCCAGATGTTCAACACTGAAACACTGAGATCAGACACACTTTACACACTCTCCAGATGTTCAACACAGAAACACTGAGATCAGACACGCTTTACACGCTCTCCAGATGTTCAACACAGAAACACTGAGATCAGACACGCTTTACACACTCTCCAGATGTTCAACACAGAAACACTGAGATCAGACACGCTTTACACGCTCTCCAGATGTTCAACACTGAAACACTGAGATCAGACACACTTTACACACTCTCCAGATGTTCAACACAGAAACACTGAGATCAGACACGCTTTACACGCTCTCCAGATGTTCAACACTGAAACACTGAGATCAGACACACTTTACACACTATCCAGATGTTCAACACAGAAACACTGAGATCAGACACGCTTTACACGCTCTCCAGATGTTCAACACAGAAACACTGAGATCAGACACGCTTTACACACTCTCCAGATGTTCAACACAGAAACACTGAGATCAGACACACTTTACACGCTCTCCAGATGTTCAACACAGAAACACTGAGATCAGACACGCTTTACACGCTCTCCAGATGTTCAACACTGAAACACTGAGATCAGACACACTTTACACACTCTCCGGATGTTCAACACAGAAACACTGAGATCAGACACGCTTTACACGCTCTCCAGATGTTCAACACAGAAACACTGAGATCAGACACGCTTTACACACTCTCCAGATGTTCAACACAGAAACACTGAGATCAGACACGCTTTATACGCTCTCCAAATGTTCAACACAGAAACACTGAGATCAGACACGCTTTACACGCTCTCCAGATGTTCAACACTGAAACACTGAGATCAGACACACTTTACACACTCTCCAGATGTTCAACACAGAAACACTGAGATCAGACACGCTTTATACGCTCTCCAAATGTTCAACACAGAAACACTGAGATCAGACACGCTTTACACACTCTCCAGATGTTCAACACAGAAACACTGAGATCAGACACGCTTTATACGCTCTCCAAATGTTCAACACAGAAACACTGAGATCAGACACGCTTTACACGCTCTCCAGATGTTCAACACAGAAACACTGAGATCAGACACGCTTTATACGCTCTCCAGATGTTCAACACAGAAACACTGAGATCAGACACGCTTTACACGCTCTCCAGATGTTCAACACTGAAACACTGAGATCAGACACACTTTACACACTCTCCAGATGTTCAACACAGAAACACTGAGATCAGACACGCTTTACACGCTCTCCAGATGTTCAACACTGAAACACTGAGATCAGACACACTTTACACACTCTCCAGATGTTCAACACAGAAACACTGAGATCAGACACGCTTTACACGCTCTCCAGATGTTCAACACAGAAACACTGAGATCAGACACGCTTTACACACTCTCCAGATGTTCAACACAGAAACACTGAGATCAGACACGCTTTACACGCTCTCCAGATGTTCAACACAGAAACACTGAGATCAGACACGCTTTACACACTCTCCAGATGTTCAACACAGAAACACTGAGATCAGACACGCTTTACACGCTCTCCAGATGTTCAACACAGAAACACTGAGATCAGACACGCTTTACACTAGGGCTGCAACGATTAGTCGACGTTGTCGACAACGTCGACAATACAAATTTGTCGACAAATATCTTTGTTGTCGAGTAGTCGTTTGATCTCACGTGACCTAATGTAAGGGCCTGCAATCCCGCGATTTGACCGCTACGGCGCTGTAGCGCTAGAGTGTAGTGCAGCCCTTACAAATGCTATTGCGGTAGAAGAGAAAACAGCGCGAATTATGACAGTGCAAACGAATCCGAACTAGCAAGGTTTAGGTTTGGGAAAGTTTCACAAAACTTCAAATCAAGAATGCTGTCGTGTGCAATTTTCACGGGAGCACAACATGCATGTTGGAGTGCAAGAGGAAACATCCCGGCAAAAGAGGAGCCGGTGAGAAGTGAGTGTTCTCCAGCTGGAGCTTAGCCTACTAACCAGCGGTAAATCTCTCTTTATTAGAGAATGCAATACTACTAATAATAGTAATAATATTATCAATAGTAATATAATTACAGTAATGTGATGACTTATTTTGTATAGAATAAAGCTTGATCGAGCTTAGGAGTCAGGGCTGTTTTTATTATTGTAACACTATTAGTATATTAGGTATTATTATAGTCTTATCACTTGCCTGTATTTTGTTCAATAATCATGAAGACTTACAAAACGAGATGTTATATCCTTCCTATGACATAGGAAGAATATCATGGCAGTTACTTTATCATACTATAAATTAAAAGGTGAATGAGAACGTCTCTGTCAGCTCAATTGTCATGTAAAAAAAGATTGTAATTTTATAATTATAATAATTGTTTGCAGATTCATATTTTACCATTCTTTGTGTCCTGAAGTAAATGTCCCTTTTTCTGTTTCAGTTCTAAGAAAAGCAGTGGGCCTATTAAACAATGCTTAGAGAGCATTTGTGTGTGATTTGAGTTGGACCGAAATCTGAAAACTTAAAGAGAATGACCTGTTTAGTTGGCTCAAAGTTCATTAAAACAACTATTTCAAAACCTGAAGTGATTTTCTTTTTTTATATTATAGTTAGAATATGTATAACTCAATGTTTTAACTACTTGGAAAAGCTGAATAATCGTTCCAAACCTACTGATTAGTCTGCGAAATAATCGACGATTAGTCGATTAATCGTTCTAATAATCGTTAGATTAATCGATTATCAAAATAATCGTTTGTTG